ACAGATCAGATATTGCGTCCGGTCCAGAGTAGCAGACAATCATTCATTGTCTGTCTGTCTACGTCCTCATGATATATGCATGCAGCAGTAGCTACTGTGTTGCATGAGATACCTATATGCTCGTCGGATTCGATCCAGGTCGGATAATTTCTTTCCGATTTCAATCAAGCGTCGCAGTCGTCACTGATGCTACTGCTCTGATCCGCACGCACGTGTGTGTTGTGTATTTGAAGGTGAAAAGCGTCTTTCTGTGTTCAATCTCGAATAGAAGCGGAAAAGTTAAAGCTTTTTATGACAGTTTTGTTGTGGAGATGCTTTTTTCACCTTTTGTGGATTGAAAAGAAAAGTTTACATCGTCTTGCATTGTTTCCTCCTTTATTAGCGCACTAATGTTGTTATGTTGTGCCGCGGCACCGTGTTGTGATGTTTCATATATATGAACATATACTCTGAAAGGGTCCCGTCAATTATCAGCTCCGTAATAGCAATTTGGAATGAAATGTGAAAAATAATTCCCATCAAGGAAAGTGAATTAGTGGCGCTTTCGCTTTTATCATATGGTCTGCAAAATACGATTTAGTAAGCAGGTATTGCTGTAATGGCCCAAAAGAGCATTGTTAAGCTAGTAGACATGTGAGCATGTGGGACAATACAATCTACTAAGTAACAATGGAACTATTTGAATTTGTCATTCATTGCCGCTGTCTGCATAAGCTCAATTACTATCATTCTCACAATAAGTTCATGGAATTCCCAAACTTATGACGAGCTGTTCCTGACCAGTCTCAAGTTTTACGATTGATGATCATCTTGCAGTGACTGCCGCCTGAATCACTTGACACCAAAACGGTTACAATCGCATGCATTATGCAATCGATTTCCGTTTGTTTGTTTCTTACGACAAGTGAATCATATTCCGGTCGTCGTTCCACGCGCGTTGGTGATTAATATTCTGAAGGACACTTTCTTTTGCGCGTACGAGACCTGAGTCGATGTTTCGTCAGAGTCAAAGCATTGGTACCCGGATTGTGTAGCTCCTCAGGTGTGAATGAATAATAATGGTTTCGCTTTCAATCAGCACCATGTGAGACCTGGGTATTCCCAATATGTTCGTTTTAGCTTTACTGTTTTTCTCTATTTTTCTTTTTAACTGTTTTTCTGAGAATTACTAAGAACCACAAGTCAAGTCATGACAAGAACAATTATGCCTGTGCAGGGATTGACGCATCTTTGAACATTAAAAATTTCAGAATTTATCGTTATGTCACGGAAATGCTTATAATTTCCCTCGAAACAAAATCCTTTTCAAAAAATCAAGATAACTTCCATGTGGCCATTACTTTCATCGAACTTTGATAAATAAAATTACTAAAAATTGAAAATATGGAAGTGTTTGTTTGTCCGTATGTCAATCTAAGTATCTGTCCTCTCATCATTGTCCCAACCGAAGCCACGCTTTTTGTATTTCGTTCTAGTAGCCACACACCATCAGTCATCTCGAGAGAGATCCAGAGACTTGACAAAGCTGTTTATCTTATAATAATAACAACTTTTCTAAAGAAGCCAAAATTACACAGCCTACTGTTTTCGAGATTATTTGAAAGACGACAAAAATTTGTAAAAATAAAAATTCTAATTCTTTTTCAATATTTTTATAATCCTATGTTTTTTTTTCATATGTAAATGCATAGAATACAAAAATGCAGAACTTTTGATAAAAAGTAAACTGCTAGAGTGGACCTTGAATGCAATATAGCGGGTCAAAATTGATAACTCCGAAGCGAAACATTTTCGTGACTTGGAGTCTTGAGCGAAGTTTCTCACAATAATGAGGCCCATCTATTAACATTACTAGATAGTTCAATACTCAACTGCATATAGTCTAATGTTTTCAAGTTGTTTGGAAAACATGAAATATATGGTGAAATGACTTTTTTTCCAATCTTTTTGAATATTTTCGTTAATAACCATGTAAGTTCATACTTTTTTTAATGTGAATGCACTGAACGTAAAACTTTTTTTAATGAATTCACTGATTTTCGAAGAAAATTCTGAAAATGTCACCATCCATGCGGTGGTGTCTCAAGCTATCAGTTTATGTTAATAGATGGTTCTTATTATTGTGAAGAACTGGTGAATATCATGAGAAAACAGGACCTCTCCCTATCACGAGACGATACTACATGTCATGAGCTTTCTTGTCATTTTCCAATGATCAACCGCTCGTGAGAATAATTCTCACACGGTTTTGAAATCAAAATTTCTAACAGATTTAGATGAATGTATGCAAGCAACAGTATGCAATCGGTAGATTTAATATATTTTTAAGATTTCCGCGGTACAAGTAACATCAATAAATAAGCTAGTAATTGCAATGTTCACAACGCTGTCACGTTCTGTCAAAAAAGTCGATAAGATTTTGAAGAAAATCACTATAATTGTTTTCTCATCCGACGATAGTGACATGGTACTGAAGACACCTGTATGCTTATTTAACCAATAAGTGAGTAAGACAACTCATGGAATCTATGGGTCTGCTTTGTGCTTCTCTTGAAAGAGGATGTGCTGTGCATCGTTGTTCCTCCGAGGCACATTTTGCGTGGCAGTCCTGGTGGTAGTCGTTGTCATCACCGGTACGTACACATTTAGATTATTTTACTGGAGTCAGAAAATCTTCCTGTGTTTTAGAATTGCTGAAAAAGTCGGTAAAATTTCAAGTGACCGTTGTTTGTTACTTAATGTGCATCATCTTTTTCATCAACAAATAGTATCAACAGAAGCTTCCTGCACAAATTTGGATTAAAGTTACGAATTTTTGAATTTTTTAAAGATTTTCAAAATTTTACCGAACAGTTCTCCAATTTAAAAAAATGTTACCTGAAAGAAGAATTATATAGACTATCACTAGATCCATATATGTATACAGTGCGAAAAATTGATTGGTAAAATATGACATAGAGGACAGTCGGTAAAAACGGACACTGCAGGAGAGATGGACAGCAATTGCTTTAAATCAAAAAATATGTTTAGAATAAATCGAGATCTTCAACATTTTAACAAAGATGAAATTTAAGGGTTTGTTCATGTTAAGAGTATGCAGTGCTGGCTACATTTATTAAAAAAAAAAAGATTTTAAGATTTTAAGCAGCAAGTGGCTATCTTTCCTGCTGGGTCCATCTTTACCGACTTTCCCATATGCTTTATGTGGGATATCCTTCCATTTGTCACCGGGTATGAACAATCGTCGTTGGTAATGGTTTTTTGTAATGTAAGGGGCTTGATTGTCTGATCCAACCGTTTGCATTACTGAGTCGATAGGGTCGCATAATTTTCCCATCAGCCATCAAAAGATCGCAAATCTTATTATCGTCAATTTCGAAAATCTTTACATTTTATCTAAACTAAAATCGCATCACTTATGAATCAAGGTATATCCTGATCCAAAGAATCAAGCCTACTAACACAATCTCCCCTTCTGTGACCTTTGTGGAGACGCAGAGGTAAACAGTGTCCCCAAAACAGCAAAGGTCACCCTAATATTCCTTCCCTACTCCCGCTTGATTGCAAGGACTGATTCTGATCAATCAAGGAGCAGCAACAATCGATATGCGCAATCAGCCTAAGCTAAGCTAAGTGAGTTCGACAACTCGTGGAATTCATGGACATTTGTGAAATATTTTTTCTTAAAAGTCCATGGTTGCACACAGCCAGTTCATGAAAGTATCCTGAAAAATGATAGATATACCCCTATCATTTTGCTTGTATTGTGCAACATATATACAGCACATCAGAGATGCGCAAAATATATCAAAACGAGCAAGCCTACTGTGCAGCATTTAAGGGTAAAGATGATTAAGAAACATCGGGTCTGTATATTTAAATCAAAGATTTTAACACGATGCTTCAGAATCCAATAAATGGATGAAACGTAGACAGCTCTTACCGTATGTTCCATGTATTGTTATTTATAAATGATTGATCGTTGGAAATATCTAGTCTTAAAAGGATAAATGATGACGTAGACACAACGGCAATGAAACCACTGGAATAGGACCTTTTTTGACATATCTGCAACCTAAATTAAACACCGATTGTAAATAGCTGTATCAGTTACAAACTGCACCTGAGACTTCCGTTTTGGGATTTGCAGACGCCAGCCGCAGGATGAACTTTATTTTTACTGAATTGACTTTTTTTTGCTTGTATTTAGTATTAATGTGCAATCTGTTTTCATTTGTATTATGCACATGTAATGGAAAAGATATGAGGTTTTTAAGACTGCTAAGACTTTTCTCCATCAAAACCCTCATTAAAGCAACACAGTTAGGCAAGGTTGAAGTAGCTAAATAAATAAATGATCCATTTTCATCTAGTCGTCGGAACATGAACCCAGTGCGCGAAATAGTCAGGTTCAATGAGTGATTTTCATATGAATTTGAACAGCCATCCGCATCATCATTCACTGCTTCGTGAGAGTCTGAATGAATGCGCAGTAAACAAGTCTTTGACAGCAGAGCACTCAGTCAGCATGTTTATTCTTCCGTGATGGTACCCAATCCTTGATTTGAATGACTGAACGCACATTTTCTATGGAAAAATGCCTCAATTACAGCTGTGTGAGCGAAGACAAGCGGAGTAAGTCACCTGTTCGTGCGTGACCGAATATCTTTTTTGGCTCTTTTTTTGCCTCTTCTTGTCAAAGTTAAACTATACTGAAAAGCAGTACGTTTCAGGACAATGGAACCATCTCAAATCATATCGTCTGAAAGCACTCAAATTCAGAATGGGTGACAACCCTATGAATTGTGAAAGCATCAGCAAAAAACGCCTGGGAACGACCGAAGTTACTAGAAACGTATCATCAGCAGAAAATATGACACCATTAGTACTGCAAGGTTGTCCGATACCAAAACCTGCACCACCAATCACATAAAAACTTGATTTGACAAAGCGAAGCCAGCAATAAGGTAACAATCCAATACAATGTGGCCTTTTGGAAGCGGAGAAGGAAGCGGTTAAGGAAGTGGAGAAGGAAGCGGTTAAGGAAGCGGAGAAGGAAGCGGTTAAGGAAGTGGAGAAGGAAGCGGTTAAGGAAGCGAAGAAGGAAGCGGAGAAGGAAGCGGAGAAGGAAGCGGAGAAGGAAGCGGAGAAGGAAGCGGAGAAGGAAGCGGAGAAGGCAGCGGAGAAGGAAGCGGAGAAGGAAGCGGAGAAGGAAGCGGAGAAGGAAGCGGAGAAGGAAGCGGAGAAGGAAGCGGAGAAGGAAGCGGAGAAGGAAGCGGAGAAGGAAGCGGAGAAGGAAGCGGAGAAGGAAGCGGAGAAGGAAGCGGAGAAGGAAGCGGAGAAGGAAGCGGAGAAGGAAGCGGAGAAGGAAGCGGAGAAGGAAGCGGAGAAGGAAGCGGAGAAGGAAGCGGAGAAGGAAGCGGAGAAGGAAGCGGAGAAGGAAGCGGAGAAGGAAGCGGAGAAGGAAGCGGAGAAGGAAGCGGAGAAGGAAGCGGAGAAGGAAGCGGAGAAGGAAGCGGAGAAGGAAGCGGAGAAGGAAGCGGAGAAGGAAGCGGAGAAGGAAGCGGAGAAGGAAGCGGAGAAGGAAGCGGAGAAGGAAGCGGAGAAGGAAGCGGAGAAGGAAGCGGAGAAGGAAGCGGAGAAGGAAGCGGAGAAGGAAGCGGAGAAGGAAGCGGAGAAGGAAGCGGAGTCAGTTTGGCATGACCGGACGCGGAACAAATTCGAACCCAGACCACGACGTAGCGTACGATGACGCCGCACGCAGCAACACACATCTAGTGAATAACGTTTCATGAACCAAAATTTCGAAATATAACATTCCCTGTTTACTGTTAAATGCAAACCAGGTAGGTGCCAAGGACAGTATTTTGCCTACGCATCATAGAATCAACATGGTGTTCAATGTTTGTGTTTTGATTATTTCGATCATCATAAAATACCAGTAAAACAATTGAGACTGGGGAAAGTGCTGATAATGTGTCCGGCGCGAGTTTTGGTGGTGATTCGGTGGCCGACGTTGCCGTGAATCAGCGAGTTTACGGCTTGCAAAAGTGCTCGTCTGCTGGTCTCGCCAGTGTCGGAGATTGTGAGCAAGCTGAAGGATGCCTCGGTGGATACGCCCAATACTGGACGGGCGGTTGCTGGTGGCCGTGAACGGTTCCTGGGGAAAGCACTAGATGCGACCCTCCTCCCAGATGACCATGGCAATGCAGGAAGTATTACAACAAAGGTAATTGCTATTAGATATTTTTGCAAACAGTGACAGATAGTGGACATGAAGATCCAGTGGAGGTGCCGAGGAAAGGTGTTATATCCTAGACAAATGGTAAGTTACAAATTCGCTGTTATCATAGTAGGCACCGTCGTAGTCGCTGTCGTAATCGCTTTCGTAAACGCCGTCGTAGTCACCGTAGGCAGTACCGTTAGTATATTTAAAATTAATCATCAACCGCTGAAACTATATGAATTATCGCGTATTTCTCTTGTTCATTACATACCAAGTGACATTCGAGAACGTAATTTTATTTGAATAGCTTGTTTAACCAGGTCTTAAACAATCGTCACGTCGGTCATAGCTTGTTATGATTGCCTGAATCATGCGTAAAGAGCAAATTGAAACATTGGACGTCGCGTGAAAGTGGATCTTAATGAAGGCCTAAGTACTCTTTCGTAGCTTTTAGTTTTAGGATTTGAAAGATCGTCGGTTTCAGTGGCTTGCTTACTGAGCAGAAAAACGCGGTCCCAGGTTCTTTCATAATAAAAATGTATGGTAAGATCGCTTGTTTATCGTTGTCGTCGGTGCCGAGTTTGAAAAGTTATAAAAACTTGAGTAGCAGTATATAATGTGATATGAGGGGCTCGGTAGCCTTAGAGCAACCGGTTTTGCTCACCAAGCAGAACATCATGAGTCTAATCTCAAGCCCATCCACATTCAATATTCGTCAATATTTTTATTTGTTAATATGACTACATGGTAATAACAGTAACTCGATGATTAAAAAGGAGCTCGTCTGCCTAGTGGCAAACGTTTTTGCTTACTAAGCATAAGACCGTGGGTTCAATCCCAAGCTCCTCCGCGTTCACCATTTTTAACACATTGAGGATGATTGCTAGTCCCAAGCATCGTCTATTGGTTCTCTGTGTAAGTACAGCTGGTCTGGCAATAACAGAGTAGAAATCGTGGACGGTCAATCATGCTCATGCTCATACTCATGCTCATCATAAAATACCAGTAAAACAATTGATTATGCTTCCAATAAATCAGTTTACTGTGCATCATTTCTCATTGCCTTGAAAAAGCATTGAAAACCCATTGAAACAATGATTTTTATATCTAAATTCCAAAACTAGCTAATTTATCTCAAAGAGCCGTTTGACCCATTGCACCAGTTTTTGGGTGAACCAACCAGAAAGTGGGTACCAAAATGCAATGTACCAAAATCAATGTGAGGTAGATACGATTTGACAGCCATAGCATACCCCTGGTGCTAACAGTCTGGATAAAGCAATGAATTGAATAGTGCAATGCTTTCACACTCAGTCTAAGCGATCAATAATTTTACATTCTGATAGCGCCCATTACTCGCGTTCTGAAAAGAGAAGAATGAAAGAAAAGGACGTTGGAGAAAAGAAAAGGAAGAAGGGACCTTATTTCGGGGCATTTCATATACCCAATGGACAGTTTTTTAGAGGAATTAGACCATTTTAGAAAACTGATAAACCAACTCATCAAATGAACGAGGGTTTACCCATGAAGCAAAAACATGAAGCGCTGTTGCATCTCCTAATTCTAGCTCAATATTTCTCAACATTCCTTCTCATATTCAAAGAAACCCTTCTGCAAAATCCACATCCAATCAGAATCATCGGGCTTGCCCAATCGGCTGATAACAGTTTTGAAAAAAAGGATGCAGCTAATAAATCACTTTGGAATGCATTTCACCCCACTTGCATTTGATTTGCATAAAAATCAACACATATTTGGTGTCATCATATTTGAATAGAATAAATTTTCGAGCTACCAGTTATAAAGAACATCATCCTGAAAGTGCCTAACATTGATGAAACTTATTGAAAAAAATCTGAATTTTAATTGTGATGTAAACATTCATTCACGTGAACTTCTATTTAATATCACACAAACGAGCAACTTGTAAGCAATGTTGTTTACAAAGATGGGCTTTTGTATACAATATTAGCAACATTTAATTAAATTTCTCAGAACTTTACACGATTTATAATGTAAACCTATATGATATGTGCCGCTCCATTTATGTGCATCATATTGAACAGATATTTATACTACTTTTTCTAACTGTGTAGTAGATAACTGACTGAAGATACATTCATGTGTAAGCGAACATTTTCCGGGATAAAAGCCTTGCCTACAACTTGATGATACCCGACCCATATTTATTTTCTAATAATGAAACCTGCGTCAAACAGTAAACCACAAATCGTCCCCTCTGCTGATTGCACCCAATGGCAGTGGACCAATTGCAGGTGTGTTCACCATTGAACACCTCTTTAACACCTTTGTCCCAATTTCGGTTTCATCTTTGAATTTCGATTTCTGTTTTCAACGCTATTCAATGTAGAACGGCCGTATTTGTATCGCCACATTTTTCATACAGTCACGTTCCATATCTGCCTTGCCTTGGCACGAAGAGTAAATTAAACATCCAATTGTTCGGTTTTCAATGCGTTGTTGCACTTCGCATCCAACCAGATTTACATGCCGTTGAATGGTACTGTTTTTGAATGCGCATTATGCTTACAATGACATGTTACCCGATGAACATCGAGGAGATGAACTGTTGGTCTGGTGCAGGACCTTGCTAGTGTAGGGTTACAGTATCTTTTATCAGTCTGTGTGCTTATTTTGAACATTAAATGAGCTTGGTAACGTTGGCATACGAAAGTAAGGGGATCGTTGATTTTAGCTTTAGATCTTAAATTAGAGCATTACTAGAGAATATACCCCGTTACCCTATCACATTACTTTGTATCATTGAATAAAAGTGAATTTTTAAGACACTACTGAAGAAGTAGCAAACATTCTTTTCAGTAAATGGATTTGAATTGAAGTTTCGTCGCGTTGCCATCTGTTTCCGTGAGAGGTTGTGTTGAATATCTTTCGACCCATATTATTGTATACTGTTTCATGCCATGTAGAGTGCGTAAGTGGGAATCCCGTTTGATTGAACATGCTTTCACTTCGATTAGTTCAACCCTACTACAGTGTGTGCCAGAACAATAGATTCAGCTAAAATCATACTGTCACTAAAGCCGTTGTATATCTTTTGATAATCAGTCAGCTTTTATGACATATGGGATAAACTAGTGTCCCATTTTTAATGACCACACAATTTTGATGACCAACTTCTGAGATTTAGGTGATTATGAAATATTGGACATATTTTATTTAACTAGGTGTTTCTCTTCGTGATGTCAATATATTTACATCAGAAAATGACCATGCACATCCTGCATATTAAGCTGCGTCGGTGGTGTACTGGCAAACGTGATTGCCACTCACCCCAAAAGGCCTGGGTTCAATCCCAGTCGGCACCGCCGGGATTTTCTGTGAGGCATAACATCTGTGATCAGAGATTTCTTCGGAAGGGAAGTAAAGCCGTTGGTCCCCGGTCCATGAGTTGATGGGTCGATAGGTAGGGTCCAGATGTGGGAGCTGCCCTCTGGCGTCAGTAGTATTGGTGCTCAGTACGGAAAACAAGATCGAAGGAAAACGAATCAAGGAAAAAAAATCCTGTATATTAATGACAATCATTAACTCAATCAATAATGTTTTGACATACACTAAAAATTTACCAATATTTCATTATTTTAGTATTAGATTATTTTACCTGACCGTTTGATATTTACCAATCATAGCTTTAAGATTATATAATATTCAACGGATATAAAAGTTTGAATGACAAAAAAATTAATTCATTTGATGTAGAAATTTTTTAAAAAGCTTTTATTGCTATGTTTTGCACAAAATTTGAGAGAGCCAAATACATCTTTTTTCGGAGTTTTGAGGAAATGCTATACTAATATCAAGCTTTAGAGCGGTAATTTATTAGCTAGGGAAAGTTTTGAAGAGGTAGGTAGCTCCGCTAGAGTACGGCAGTGTGAAAATTGAACAGAAGTTGAAATTGAGGCAATGGCCATTAATGCGACAATACTAATCAAATACACACTCCTTTACCTTATTCATACTGTGATGGATGACGGGATTTGAGGTGTACCTAAAAGAGTAGATATTTATCAGTGTTTTGATCAACTATGGGAAATTTTGTGTGTTAGTATATCAACATCATAAAACAAGACCACTTTTTCAGTTAGGGGCATCCAACATTACATATTCGTCAATATCACAGGAGTTTTATAATAAAATGATGTGTTTTTCTGAAGATCGATGACATTTTGGTTATTTCATAAATCCTATAAATTTAATAACTATTGTTATCAACTGTGCAATGTTCCTTCTTCCTTAAGGAAACATTGCGGTGAACAACACTACGCACTCACTTTGGCGCGCTCATCACAACTTACTCGCACGTGCGCATGGAGACTCAGGCGGTTATCTTCAGTCGCGAGGACTTAGATTCGCCGTGGGAGGAGTTCTTCAGTTAGCGGTCTTTTACGACTGGTTACAGTCGAAAATCGCTTTGAGGAAAGCTGAGTCTCTGGTTGGAAAAAGACTGTTTTATTCTACAAATTTCATTGGCTTTTATAGCCTTCGGT